CCTACTTATCAATCAATATTTGATCTGTATTTTATTTCAACTACTTTGAACCTATCTTATTTTGATCTATTAGCAACAGCAATATAACATCTTTTTCTATGTATATCTTATTTCTAAATAAATATCTATCATTGCTAATGCTCTCTAGCTAGACTTATTTCTATTTATTTCTTTATTCTGTATATAAATTTTGTTCAGAGACATTATCCATTCAGTAATTTTAAAAAGCATAAGAAACTAAAAAGTAACTCCGAAAATCATACTTGAATGAAAGTAATTAATGTTAGAGATTTACATTTTACAAAAGTGGGAAAACGATGTATAAATTTTTATATCTCAGAACAATTTTAGGAAAATCTATAACAAAGTGGAAAAAAAATTTCTTGTGAAGTATTTCGTCCTTTATAACTTTATTTTCGTCGGACTCTAAAAGTGATGCTTACATTGATGTGATTACACATGCGCATAAAGGAGAGGGGACACAGAAATTTTAAATTTAATTTTTTTAAATTTGTTTGGTATATAACCTAGCTGATTTCATTTAGTTTCTTTTTTTTTTTAAATTTAATATAAATTTAAAATTTTAGCATCCCCCCTCTGCTTTATGTACATTTGTAACCACATCAACTTAAACGTCACTTTAGTTTCTAAAAGATTTTTTACACTTTGTCATAGATTAACAAAATGCAACTCTTGTTTGTTAATTTCTATGCATTCCTATATCATTTATTTTTAATCGATCAGTGTGCATTTTTTTGTGCATTTTACTCACTTAGAACTATCACTATTCTTATTTTTCTATTTCCTTATATATCTCTTCGTTTTTCTCTGTATCTCTCAAATTTATTCTCTCTATCTTTCTCACCCTCTTCATGCACGCACATGCACATGTACATGGAGAAAGTGGTCCAAAAGAAATCTCCTTTTTATTTAGTTTTACTAGCGTAGTACCAATAAAAAATAACAAGATTATTTATATACGAATCTGGCTGGAATCAGAGTATCTGTTTTCTGTCTATGATCAAATTGTTATTCTCTGGCCTTCTACCGAGGATCAGTGTAGTATCAATGCACTCAGCTTTAAATCAAAATGTCACTACACGGGCCCCTACCTAAGATCAGTGTAGTGTGTTTGCTCTGCCTCAGATCAAAGTGTCACTGTGGCCCTCTACCTAGAATCAATATAATATCTGAGTACTCAGCATAGAATGAAAGGTTCATTCCATGTCCCCTGCCTACAATCAGTGTAGTATGTTTGCTCTGCCGCAGACAAAGGTGTTTCTTCATGGCCTTCTACCTAGAATCAATGTAGTATCTGTGCACTCAGCATAGGATGAAAGTTCCAATCCATGGCCCCCTCACTAGGATCAGTGAAGTATATTTGTTCTGACTCAGACCAAGGTGACACTTATTGGCTCTCTACCTAGAATCAATGTAGTATCTGTGCACTCAGCATAGAATGAAAGTTTCACTCCATGGATCAGTGCAGTAAGTTTCATTCCATGGTCCTCTACCTGAATCATTGTAGTATCTGTGCACTCAGCTTAGGATTAAAGCTTCACTCTATGGCTGCTACCTAGTCTCAGTGTAGTATGTTTGTTTTTTCTCAGATCAAGATGTCTCTTTGTGGCTCTTTACCTAGAATAAATGTGGTATCCAGGCATTCAATATAGGATCAAAGTTTCACTTCATGGCCGCTGCCTAAGATCATGGTGTATGTTTGCTCTGCTTCAGATCAAAGTATCACTTCATGGCCCTCTACCAAGAATCATTGTAGTATCTGTGCACTCAGCATAGGATCAAACTTTCCTGTCATTGACCTCTACCTAAGATCAGTGTAGTATTTGTGCATTCAGCCTAGGATCAAAGTGTTGAGCCATAACCCCCTGCTTAGGATCAGTGTAGTATGTTTGCTTTGCTTCAGATCAAATTATCACTACATGCCCCTCTACCTAGAGTCAATGTAGTATCTGTGCACTCAGTTTAAATCCTTAGTCCTCTATATCTATGCACTGTATCTGTTAGTTAATTTTTTCCACGCTGTTCAAGTAGCAGAGTTGTGAATATATTACTTACCTGCTTACTTCCAGTTTAAATCAGGTCAGGATTCACTTGTTAATTTTAGTCATCAATTTACTTTAAACATCATAGAACTTAATGACATAAAAACAAAGAGATTCTCCAGTTAAATCATATTGAAAATACAATCACCAAAGTTAAGAGGTTTTAAATATAGTTACTACTTAGATGGGGTACTACTTGAACCTGGGTATTGTAAGCAACCTCTTACAATCCAAAATATGTTTCATCTTTAAATAATCCCAAAAGGGTTGATAAACTATAAAAAATAAATCAAGTAGTCAAAAAACTATCAAATTTGTTCCATATCTATCGATATTTACTTGACCCCCCCTACTGAGTCAGGTTGTGACACAAGGTCAGTTTTTAACATGGGGACCCGAATGTTTTCACTCGGGCCACTGGTCCAAACTGGTCTTAGCTGGTCGTAGCTTGTCCAAGCTGGTCAGAGCTGGTCTAAGCTAGTCATAGCTGATCTTAGCATGCCCAAGCTGGTCCAGGCCGGAGCCAGTCCAAGTTAGTCCTAGCCATAATACCACCAGCCAAGGGGCGAGCCCTGTGCCAAGTAGGTATTTGATAGATCATCCTTAAAAGGATGATCCATGTGTCCATATCTATCTATCTAGATATTTATACTGTGTATCATGGATTTTTCACCTGTACAAAGGTACTAAGTGTTGTACGAGAAAGTTTATGTTCTTTCATTTTCCTACTAAATAAAACTTACCTACATTTAAGCATTCCAATTCCTCTCATTTATTTTGACTTTCATCCGATGCCAATCTATGTCATAACCATATTGGCTATTAAAAATGGTCCTCATCTTAGAGTAATTTCCAGGTGACTCACCTACTGACACCAGTTTTGTTCAGTTGAGTTTTTATTATCTTGATCAGTTTTCTCTACTCTCTGATGCTGCAAACTTCAAGAGTGAGAGACGCCACATTCTGGTAGATCATACATCACTTCCAGTATTTTGAAACTTTGGAAGAATTTCTGAAATACCATTTCTCGAAATTCCTAAGTTTCTTAGCAATTACTTGCTGGCTTATTTTGTCTACCATCTCCATTATTAGTCTCTTTGCAAATTTTCAATATGATGTCAACAAGTGTAGAAAAAAATGATGAAATGCAAAGTCAAAGTTGTAATTATTTTTTTTTTATTATTATTGTTGTTGCAATAAAAAAAAAGAAATACCATATTCCCAGTGGAACTATTAAGCTGAAAAACAAAAAGGCAAGATGGCTAGAGACCTTTTGCACAGGTATTTTTAGAGGTCATCTCCTATTTCTCTTTTCGGTTAGAAATCCATCCAGAAAAAAACAAACAATTTTAGAAAAGAAATATCTCAGAAAGAGGCCAACATTTCATGTAAAGACAAATTATCAGATATCGACTTACTGAAAATTATTATAAACTTACAATAGTTTAAAATTTCTAAAGACTTTTGCATTAAACTGTATAAGAGCAATTTACAGCTTTAAAGATTTCCACAATTAATGTAATCAACCTTAATTCAATATTAATAATTGTGAGTACAACATGGTATTAGATCATAAAAGATTCTTTTATGATAAGTAGACACAAGTGAAACTTCTTCTTTGAGCTTTTGCTATTCTGATCACTTTCTGTAATGTCCTCTACTGCAGCTTTTGAGTTTTACCAGGTCTTTACTGATCTAAAATGCTTCCAATGATTTGAAACTTCAAGAGTACATCAGAGATGCCAATTCTTGAAATTTCAAAGTTCCTTCACCATCTCCATTATCTTAATCTAGGTTTCAACAAGTAACGTAAGAATTCCGAAACTTGAAATCAGAGTTTTAAATCAATTAAGAAAGAAAAAAATCAGTCATGTTGCAAAAACAATTTGCATATTCACAGTGAAAAGCAGAAAAACAAAAAGGTGATATGGCTGAAACCTTTTGCACAGCCATTTTTAGGTTGTCTGTCTTCTCATTCTTAAAGCCTGCTGGAAAAAAAAAACACTATTTAGGAAAATAAATATCTTAGAAAGTGGCCAACATTTCATATGTAAAAACATCTACTTATTGGTAATTATTATAAATTTACAATAGTTTAAAATTGCCAAAGACTTTTGCATTAAACTGTAAGATTAAAAGTGCAATTTACAGCTTTAAAGATTGCTACAATTAATGTAATCAACCTTTATTCAATATTAATAATTATGAGTATAACTTGATATTAGGGTGCAGAAAAGTGAAATAAAATCAATAAAAATATAATAATAAAAAATGAAAAAAAAATTTTTTTTTCATGTTGTTAGTAATAAAGAAACTGAAAAAGATTTTAGTCCTTTTTGCAATTTTATGACCACACTTCTGAAAAGGATAGAACTGCACTTTCTTTTTCCACTTTCCAACAGATATCATTCTAACTTGTTTTGCAGAACCCCCATCAATGAAGTAAGTGCAGCCTTTACATTGGTCATTCCAACTCAGTCCAAAGCTGATTTGAGCTCAACCATTATAACCATTCTTATTATTACTTACTCTAACTTATGCCTGGACTAAAAAAAAAGCAGACATACCCAAGAGACATTGAGAACTTTGTTTCCCTACAGTTTCTATAAAAAAAATAAACAGTCTATAGTAGAAACTCAAATTGTTGTTGCTTCTTCTTCAATTGTTTATGTATGAACATGCACACACCTACAATATACCAACATGCAAACTTTAATTCCATAAAAGCATAAAAAATGTATAGACTATATTTCACAAGGCAAATCACTTTCATTTGAGATGAAACCTCTGTGGTTTCATTTGAAATTTAAGTTTAGGGATGTTTAGTATAAGCACTCAAGAAATAAAAAGAGTATTAATGGGCATTTGTCATTCAATATTGCATTCAGAAAATTTCTGATACTCACAAGTAATAAATAGGTTTATGGTCACATACAGTAGAAATACCAGTTCCCATTCAATCACCGAAGTTAAGCAATGTCAAGCCTGGTCACTATCTAGATGGGCGATCACTTAGGAATACCAGGTGCTGTAAGCTTGGATGTCCAAGTGATGTAATGGATAATGGCTCAGAATTGTTAATCAGAGAACTGAGTTCCAATTCTCCTTGGCTTTCACATACACGCAAATAACCTTGGGAAAAGTATGAACACACCTCTTCTCCCCCATCTATGGGTTAATTAGTAAGACTTGTATCACTAAACCATTGTTATTTAACCCCCTCCTAAGGTTCCCATTCGATCACCAGAGTTAAGCAATGTCAAGTCTAGTCAGTATCTAGATGGGTGACCTTTTGGAAATACCAGACTTGTCTCACTAAACCATTATTATCTCTCTGATCCCCCCAACTATTACAAACTAAAAATATTTTCTGGCTTTAAATAACCTGCAAAGGATTGATAAGCTGTAAAAAAATTAATGAATGAATCAATCAATCAATCAAAAAATAACAGCATAGATTTTGAAAGGTTTGCCTTAATGAGAATAATGGCTTGGAATTGTTAATTGGAGTGTGACACTATAGTGACACTGGTAGTATGAAAAAAAGGGTTCATGTGAAAACCCTGTATGGGAATGGGAGAATTGGAAGGGTTAAAAATGTTAAAAACATTAAGGTGAAAACATGAATTAAAATATGAAGCAAGGAAAAAATTAGAAATGTTTTTTTTTTTCCTTTCTCATAGCCAGAAACATTGACTGGAATGTTGAATTCAAAACATGGTTTGAGAAATGTAAAATATAAACTGAAAGGCAATTGGAATTGTTATGATTCGCAAAACCGAAAAGTGAATTGAGTTGTGATAAATTGCAAAGCCAATAATGTAAACAATTTAATTGCCATCAGAACATAGGAAGAAATGATAAACAAAGTTTGTTGTTGAAGAATGTATTGTTTTGAATAAGTGACCGCTTTGTTTGAAGGTTAGTATCCTTTCCAAAAATGAAGAGATAGAAAATTTAATTGATATGAATATTAATGAATTGTGATATGTGGTAGGAGTTGGGTGAAATACATATAAACAGAATGCTTAAGCAAGCCAGCAGTTGGAACCAAGAGATGCAGATAAGATGAGACAGCAGTGGATGAAGGAGATGCTGAACTCCACATGACCTGCTGCCAAGAGAATTCTCAACTTTGTACTGTTGTTTTTAACCCACTCCAAGTTTTAAAAGGAAAATACAAAGTGTCAAATAGAGAGTTTAACAGGAAGGGTTAATTTTGTTGTGTCAAAAACTATGTAAACAAATTGAAAATTAACCTGGCGACCTTCTTCATTATTTTGTTATGATATTTTAATTTTCACCAGAGGAAGGATTCTTTGTCCTTTTCTAGCATGGTTCTGCAACCACCTGATCCAGCACTCAGGTACAGACAAAATTCGATCTTCACTGCTCTGTGATGAAGGAACACAACATGGGACAAAAGCAAATGAAAGAATGAAGTGCAAGGCCATGTTATAGGAGTACTGAATTTCAATTCCAGTTGGGTTTTTTATATTCACTTATGTGCAAATACCTTTGGGAAAGGTATAAATCTACTTCTTTTCCCCCAAATTATGGCTTAATTAGTAAGACTTGTATTATTAAACCATTATTATCCCCCCACACCAAATTTTTAAAATATAAAAATTATTTCCTGGCTTTAAATGAGCTGCAAAGGGTTGATAATCTATAGAAAGTGAATCAATCAATAAAAATAGTAATAAATATCAACCTAAAATCCAGGTGTCTTCTGCTTTGACATTTTGTTTCTTAACACATTTTACCCATTTTGAGTTTTAATTCAATAAATTAACCTAGATAAATAAATAAATAGCCTTGAGCACTTATTGGGACTTAAACTCAGCCCAGACCTCAAGAGAAACTCATGACTTCCCTGTACCACTCCTCCTGCAATGCCCTACCTTTACAAGAGCCAGATCAGGTTGAAAATGGAGTACTACTGCTATAAATGAGCAGGAGTTGCCCAGTCTTCACTTTTCAATTTTGATATAGTCCAAAAGTATCTACACAGCTTTGTAAGTGGTTAATTATTTTCTACAACCTCTTTCCCACAGATGAAATATAGCAAGCCTCATGCTGCTCTGTTGCTATTTCCACAGGAAGTTTTCAAAGTACATTCCTGAGTTCCACCAGTTTTAAACGTCACAGCTAAGACCAGCCATATTAAACACTTTCTACTGAACCACCCTCATTCCTTTTATATACCATTGGTGAGATATAAGTTCCACTTCAGCAGCTTCTTCTTACAAACTGCTACTTTTTGAAACTGACTCCAAAGACCTTGCTTCCATGATCACTACATTTTTTACTTGTTCAAGTTTAAGGTTAACTGTTATCTTCCCCAAATATCCACATAAACTGTGAGGATTACTCTGTAATCCTCTACTAAGAATGGCTCTTGAGCCCTGTACAGGGTGAGCAATATTGTAAAAAAAAAACAGTGCTTTTACAAATAAACAACTTGTATAATCATAGTGTAACTGTTAAACAGAAAAAAACAAAGAATTGGGGTTACTGAAAATTTGCACGGTCATTTTTAAAAGACATAATGTTAATCTACTTGCACAATGGTAATTATTAAAAAGGTACAGTTACCGTTTCAATTTGGTGCTGTTAGATACAAGTGAAATATTCTGAAATGAGTTTTATCAAATGTTTACTGATCTAAAATGATTCCAATGATTTGAAACTGCAAAAGTACCTCAGAGAAATCACTTCCGGAAATTCCAAAGTTTCTTCTTCACCCAGTTTTCTTGGAAAATTTTTGCTATAATTTCAACAAGCAATGTAAGAATGCAGACACCTGAAGCCAGAGTTTTAAATCAATTAAAAAAGAAAAAATATCAGTGATATTGTAAAAAGAATTTACAGCAGAAAGAAAAACAAAAAAGAAATATGGTTGAAACCTTTTGCACAGCCATTTTTAAGTCATCTCTCATCTCATTCCTAAAGCCAGCTGTAAAAAATACACTATTTAGGAAAATAAATATCTCAGAAAGTGGCCAACATTTCATGCATAAAAGACACAATATCATGCATCTACTTACAAATTGGTAATTATTATACATTTAGAATAATTTAAAGTAATTGGAAACTTTTGCATTTGTCATGTCCACTAAAATATCAACTACAATATTTATAAACCAATCAAACTCAAGAAAACACTTACATCTTAAAACACACCAATAAAATCATAGATTACAAATCAGAATGTTTGTTGTATTAGTCATCATTATTTTTAGGTAGATACCGACCAAATATTGTACGGACGTAGTAGAAGACATACCACGTGACTTCTTAGGGCCAATTAGAAATAAATAAATAATTTAATTCTGGTTTATATTGTTCGGAAAAAGTGTATAAAAACATACGAAATCCGTTCCCCAAAAACAATATACACGCGGCTGCCACCAAATTCCACACACCTCTCACCGATGACCTTCATGACCTCATGTTAAAAACGACAGCGTTGACAAACTCCAGTGAGGAAAATATTTTTCCACCGTTTTTTCATAAAACTTAGGTACTAATTTGATATATCTTCCTGCATCAAATGTTGCACTTAATGAAGAAGAATTATTGGAATTTTGACTTCTATTTTCTCGTTGTAATTTCAATTTTTCTAACTCTATTTCAGCTTCAATTTTTAATCTTTCCAATTCTATTCTTTCTTGCATCTCTAATTTCTTTATTTCTAATTGAAAACGTAAACTACTTTGGTCATCTTTTTCGTCAATATTACACGATAATCCAAATTTTAACATTCAACGAAAAACCAAGTAGAAGGATTCCTACACATTCAACAATTTAAGTGCAATTTGTAGCTTTAATGATTTCAGCAATTAATGTAATCTACCTTAATTCAATATTAATAATTCTGAGTACAACATGGTGTTAGATCCTAAAAGATTCTTTCTCATGCCATAGGGAGTATAGGGTCACAACCTCACTGTTAGGCTTGCTGCTTTCTTTTCCATATCAAGTAGGCTTTTTATAGGGTGGAATTGCCATCCATATATCTAACTGGCTTCAAATTCACAGTTATCCTTCTCTTAGACTGGTTGATAACCAAAGCTTGAGAGTCTAGTCTTCTCTGTTATTTAACCCATACTTGGGGGAAGAAGAAATGGATTCACACCTGTCCCAAACAATGCAGAATATTTTAAATGACTATAGTATATTCTTTTTTGAAAAAAAGTTGTTCACAATCATATGTACTTTCCAATAATGAAACCATAATTTTCACATTATTCAATAAGTTTTATATTTTTTGTTTGACAAAACATATTTCTTATAGAAATCAGCAGTGAATTCAGAATGAAATTTGAATTTCAAACATTTGTTTCATTGTAAATCAATTAACTCCAATTGATACTTTTTCTGCCACTTGCTCTACAAATTAATTAGGTAATTAGTGTTCAGGTATTAAGATGGCAGGCCAGACAAAAATCCTTCATGTGCCAGATGTGGCCTAGTGGCTGGGTGTTGCCAACCATTGGTCTCTGGCTAAATATTAATGTACCAGTTACCTGCACTTCCCATATAATAATGTTATGGTAATATTAACTGTTTCCCTCCAAGGAAACAGTTGGCATTCATTGAACGAGCAGCCAGTATTGCTTAGGTTGAAATTTATAAAATCTTTATCTTAATTTTTTAGAAAATTAGGTTTCTCAAGTTCAGTGCCTGTTAGCACTCTTTGCAGTATTGATGGGGGTTTCCTTCCTAACCTTTTATCTGAAGAAGTGTGGCATGTCAACATTATGATTATATCGTTATTTATTAATTACATGTGCTATCCATTTTAGTTGTTGCCGCTATTGGTAGTTTATATGGTTTCTACTATTTGTTATAGTTCTTTGTGATTATTTAATGGCAGTCCACAAGGTTTCAAGAAGTATGACCTTGCCAGAACCAACAAACTTTAATCACTCAAAGCTATTTTTAACCATTGATCTTATAAAGTGGTTGACAGTTTAGATATTTCTGAACAGATGTGGTGCCAGCCATGACATTCATATGAAAGTCTAGA